TCACCCTTTTTTTGATATGACAAAACAATAAGCAAAATTTGTTTAAACTTTTTGAAAATAGACTCCTTTGAATTTTAAAGATTTGACACTTGTGTGCAGATTTTTAAATTATCCTTTAATTTTGAATCCTTCCCCTTAATCGAAGCTTCCCCTCAATTTAAGACATTTTAAGAATTTTAAAAAAAAATGATTTGGCCATCTTAACAAAAACTTGATGCAAAATTTACTTGTTAAAACCATTTTCTCCCTTTTTGTTAAATCAAAAAGAAAGTTAGGCATGAAAAAGGAAAATAGATTGGATTTGAAAGCATATGTGAAAGAAAAATCGTGTCAAGGTAACATTAAAATCATGCCAAGACTTCAAGAGATGAGCATTAAGGTACAATCATAAGATAAAGATCATAAAAGAGCATACAGATTAGAAAAAAAAGAACATAATTGCAGTAGAAATAAAATATGACCATTAGCAAAAAAAAATTAATCGAAAAGCATAATCTAGTAGAAAATGTTAAACAATCCAAAATCAGCCATCAACGACCATCCAATATAGTGCAGAAAATTAAAGAGTTTAAAACTAACATGATCCATAACAGCTATAATGTTCAAGCAAGATAAAAATGATATGATAATGTTTCCATCCAATCCAAAAAGTGAGGAAATGTCAAAATGAAGTGATGTCCCTATGAAGAAATCAAGGTAAAGGTGGAAAATGAGCAATGAACTGTTCCTTTAAAAGCTACTGATGATACAGTAAATCACAATTCTAGGCCTCCAAAGCATTAAACCTACTATCCATACAAGCATCCATAGATGCCATATATGATAATAATCGACAAAAGGCTTGCTTGAAGTCAAAAGTAATGGACATAGATGGGTAGCTAGGAGAAACACTAGGGTTCATGTTACGATTAGCATTAGGGGCTGCACTAGGCTCAACATGGGAGTCATCATTCCCCTCATCCCCAAATTCGTCAGGTTCATTGACAATTTCGTTACGCACCTAAGGGTTGTTGACAAACATAAAACCTAGCTTGTTTATGGCATGCTCATTGATTTTGGTATTCATTGCATG